TGCTGTATGGTACTAACATGTTATGATAATTTGTAGCATTCACAAACGCCTCAATGGGTCCAGGGTCTCAATAAGGAGAAGATGCTCAGTGCGTTGAAGAACCACATCACCAAGGTCATGACGCACTTTGGAGATTCGTGCTACGCTTGGGACGTCGCCAACGAAGTCATGGGCGACAACGCGCAGATGCGCGATTCGTTCTGGTACAAGACGACGGGCATGGACTTCTTAAGTACGGCTTTCAAGACTGCCAGCGACGTTAAGAAGTCACTCGGTCTCAAGACGAAGTTGTACTACAACGACTACAACACCAACACTATCAACGCCAAGTCCACGGCTGTATTGAACATGGTAAAGAAGCTGATGGACCAGGGGGTCCCCATTGAAGGCGTTGGCTTCCAGTCCCACTTCCAGCATAATGACAAGTCAACTGTTGCTGACCAAGTGGCGAACATGGAGCGCTTCACTGCTCTCGGATTGGACGTTGCGCTTACTGAAGTTGACGTAACGGCGAGCTCTTCTTCGCCTTCCGCAGAGGAGCAAAAGCAGCAGTTCAACGTCTACAAGAACACTGTCGCTGCTTGCAAGCAGGTGAAGCGATGTGTCGGAGTGACGATCTGGGGCTACGACGACAACTACTCGTGGCTCAGCACCAAGTCGCCGCTGCCGTGGTACCAGCCAGGAGGAGCAAACTCGGCGATGGTGCGCAAGTCTCTGTATGACGGCATTGTCGCTGGCTGGGGCGGAGCTAGCGGAGCGAAGAATTCGACGCAGTCAACTGGGGGCTCCAACGAGCATAGCTATGACTTTGGAACGAACGTTAACAACAAGCCGGGAGTGGTGAAGCCTTCAAACTAGCCATACCGAGGTGAATAGAGTGGAATGCTTCGGAATGTGTTGTTGCAGAATAAAACGACTTGATGTGTTTAAAAGAATCGTGGTCTTGCTTTTGCATATTTTTTTTTATCTCGATTCATCATTCTGACAGAATACAATAATATATACTTCAAGAATTACAGTAAAAATATACATTTTGGGTTAATTCCGGCAATATGTTGACCATTCGTCCTGACGAAGGCTGGATTTTTCCATGTGTCGCTCGCTCCATTCATCATCATTTGGTCCAAGCGGGGGCTATAATCAACGGGACTGCATCATCATCTCCTCACTTTCGAAAAAGCTTCGTACTCGACACATTATACCAGCAAACGTTCACGATGAACACAGTCGACTCGCCCAAAGCATCCGAATATGAGCGTCCTCCGGTGATGGAGCACTTCAAGCAGTCGAGATCTACCAGGAAGCTAAACACGCAGCCCAGTGTGCCGATGCTGGGTGTAGGTGGCAAACAGCTCTCACAGGACACAGTGCAGTGGGATCCAACACCTGAACCCTCGACCAACTACGTGAACAGCGATCAACCGCCACAAGCTCAGACAAACGAAACCGATCAAAGCAACTCAACTACAGTCAGTAAACTCGCTTCACTGCTGTGTTGCCGGCGACAATGAGGTGACTTAAACCTATACCGGAATAATGTCAACCGAAATAAAAAAAACATTAGTTTAATCCTCGCGATGCGTGTTCAGTTTTTCTTTTTTCACTGATGATGATGCCAAAACTCACTGCCATACATTGACTTGACGAGGTTCCCATCCTGTTCGACGTAGAACATCTAATGGATGGTATTTCGTCCTTGATGCCGCAGCTGCACACACTAACAAGCCATGACTGACTTTCTTCTCGCGGTACACCTGACCCGGCACCTATTTCACCATAAAATTGTCAGGATAATTTCAAAGCGCCACATACTTACTGAAGGATTAAAGGCCTTGGCACAAGGTGACATGGTGCAGATTCTGCTTTTGCAACCGCGAAATTGAAAACAGCCAAGGAATTCGCTGCATCGGGCTTCTTAAATATTTGCATTCGTGTCGAGCAAGTAGTACAGCATTTATAGTTATCCCAGTCAGACTCGCCTCAGGCAGCAGCCAGACCCGGCCATGCCGATGGCAAATATTCCTAGTAGGAACTTCCTACCTATTACTTGTAGCATTCACGCAATTGCTGTGACCAACAGTCCTTCTGAATGTCACGGGAGCCACGGAAGGCTCCACACACCACTTTCCGAGCGGTAGTATACCCGTCGAAGAACAGGATCGGCCACAAGAGAAAAGAACCCTTGAGCTGATGAGTCTTTTAAGCTCGCAGTCAAAAGAACCGAGATGTAGTGCCGAAAATCGTGCCTTCTTAAGTGTAGGCGTTTGATCCGACAACAAGCTTAGAACCCCAATTT